TTAAGTTCATTATTCAGGACACTATCGGCGATTAGGACGCTCTCAGTGGCCCTGTTCAGGTTTTACTGACACTCACAACGTTACCGAGAAGAAAATAGATCTCTGGGACCATCTAGTGGGGTAACTCTCTCTTCAGTGGAGAGAGCAAGTCGTCCTCTGGATGCAGGCTTCATCAGCTGCGATTACTTTAATAATAGGCAAGTAAACATATGATTTCCACAAAGATTACATTGAAAAATGTAGGCTAATGCAGGCTGTTGTCAAACAATCAGATCACCGTCACTGTTTATATGTCAGGAATTTTTGGACGATGAGATTTGAAATTTAGTGACAGTGAGCACTGCTACTTCTACAAAAATAAAGTTACAGTCTCTGATGTAACAGAAGCCATGAGACTCCATGGACAAAAAAATCACCAGGTAGGATTATTTATTTACTTGTTAGAACTCCATCTAGTGGTCTTTGATGGTCTAAACTTAATATCAATGATATACCATGTCTTTTATTCAATTTATGTCATTTTATCATTTTTTTAACGTTTAAAAATGTACAAACACAAGAATGAAGACTTTCAGATTAGTGGCTCAGATTAGAAAAAGCTATTTGGTTCCACTGAGGTTGTGTTAACCACATTCTGGTGGTCATTATGAAATCACATGAGCTGCATTTCTATAAAAAAATGGTCCAGTGGAGGTTGCCTGACAATTTTGAATTCTTCTAATTTTTGAGTAATTGCCTCTGTTTTTTATTTTTATTTTACTTATTTACGACCGTGTTTGCGTCATGGAACACAACAAATTTTGGTTATACAGATGTTAGGAGTTTGATATTATTCTGGTTACAGATCTTTGGATAGTAGGAAACTTCATTCATGCATTTTGATAAATGTAAATATGTGCTCTAATGTGAACCTACCAAATGAATAGTATTTTACAACATTATGTTAAGTTGATGAGGTTTAAAACAGTGTTTTGCCACCAGAGGGATGGTGCCCACTAGGGGGCCTCTGGAAACTTCCAAGGGGGACTTCATTATTGTAAAATTGACATAGCAACCAACTTTACATCTGAGATGGACATGAGACTCTTGTGTAATTAAGTTTTGAATGCTCAAAGCAATATGTGTGAATTAGCATTAATTATACACGCCTGATACTGTGTATAATTAAATGTAATTAAATGTATGAAAACATCGGATTGTGTTTGTATGGGTACATTTTGTTCCCTTCTTTTGTTCATCAGGTGATAAACAGTCCTCATTAAGCCTGAGCTTAATGATTTTGGGGTTTTTACAGCTGCAGTAGCGTTTACCTGCGTGCAGCATTGAAGAGAGACCATTGTGGGGATGGTTAGGGTCCTTAACGATTTTTCTGGTTCTTGTCCTGCACCTCTCGAATGAAATGTCCTGTAAGGTGGAGAGAGCATCCCTGATGATGCGCTCAGTGGAGCATTTCGATCTCTGCAGGGCCTTGCAGTCCTGAGATGTGGTGTTTCTAAACTAGGCTGCGCTGCTATGTGAGAGAATGCTTGTGTTGTAAAAAAATAAATAAATAAAGACATTAGTATAGTAACTTTTTTTAGAAGTCTGAGGTAGAGTTTACCTTCTTCAAATTAATGTTGTTGAACTGATTTTACGGAGCAAACTATTTGCTAAAATAACCAGTAACAGCAATACAGCAGTCCTGTCAGATGCGCGTGAAAGCTGCATGTGTTACTCATAAACACTGCACTGTTTTCTTTCAGAATCATCATTGGCTGGTAGAAATACAAAAATAGGTTACATAACAGTTTTTACGTAAAAATGAAGATAAGGTAAAGGTGTGAATAATTACATTTTAGACACATTGTCAGTAATTTCACTAATGAAAATAAAGCCCTAGGAGAACTGTTGTGCGTCTTTGATCAACACACAGCTGCGTTTCATTAATGAATATACGTTTTTAAACGAATCGAGTGAATCAATGATTCAGTGAACCATTAATAAAGGCAGTCACTTGCTTCGTTTCTTAATGAATCAGCCGAATCGATTGAATGAATGATTGAATGACTCACTGACTTAAGACAGGTGTTTGCCACCACCTACTGGCGCTTTTAGTTGTATATAGAGTATCGTTTTTTTTGTTTTTTAAATAATTTAATATTTCACTATTTATTTGCATTTTTGTATGTTTAATTAAAATATTTCTATCTAAAGCTACTTATATTTCAGCTACTTTTTTGTAATGTCTATTCAGTGTTTTTTTTCTAAAAGTAAAAAAAATAATTTTCTTTTGTGTGATTTCTGAATGCTTGAGACTAAAAAATCAATCAGACAACTGTATTAGTAAAATCATAGCCATAGGTGACTGTCTAGCTTCAATTGTAATTTGTAAATAATACAATTTCATTACAATTTAGTTATTTACTTTTATATTTTATTAAAGTTCTGTTTTGATCCCTATAGTAGGTGTTTTTTTTTTAACTTCCATAATATTTTGGGGAGGGGGCACAACAATACAATTCTGCTTAGGGCACCCATTTGGCCATGAGATTAATTTGAGATTAATTTGATTAATTGGTATATTAAGTAATTACCAATTACTTAATGTACCAAAAATAATATTTTTGTGGTAATAAAAACAGACCTATGCGAACAACAACCTTTAAAATGACATAAAATGCATTATATAAAAACAATGAGGCAATGATGATTGGTTAATTAATAATAATCGTATGGTTTCATTGAATAACACTGTTAAAATACATAATGTAATACAAAATAAACAATTTATGTACATTACAAATTACAAATGCCTGCAAAGGGCGCCAAAGGCCT